TATTTTTTAACAATCCTTTGTACTGATCCAGTGTAACCGGCACAAATTTGGACACCATGTATTGGTTCAGTTGAGCTTGCCATTTGGGGTCGAGATGCATGTTGAAAAGATGCCTGGTGATAGATGTCTTGAGATCCTCTGAGGAAAAAAAAAAAGAATATTAAAAATGAGACGAGCAAAATGGTGGTTAATCTAAACGCAGACTCAAAACGGCAGGTTCTTGCAGGCCGTTTAAAGTCTGCTACTGGCAAGCACGTAGATTGTCAGATCGACCTATGATGCAGGGTTCAACATTATTTAAATATCTACAAGCGTACTAAATATCAGAATCATGAGGCCCTTGTATGTCCTCATGTACACGTGTCAGGTCAGATCTTCTGTTTAAACGGTGGTCTGACTGTCTGAGGTACTTTCCTCTTCCACACAACAAATATCTTTACGCAAAGTATGTACATGTGTATCACTAATTTTATTCAGTATTCATAAGATGGAATTTTGCGTCTGGGTGATGTAAATCAAATTAGGTTTTGCCCTTCACCGACGTATAAACGGTTGGTATAAACGGTCAGTGTGTTACCTCCCGAGTGAAAGTTGGAAAAAAATCACTCGGGTGGGACTCGAACCCAAGACCTCCTACTTTCTAGTGCATATGTCTTACCACTCAACCACTGAGCTAAGGGAATCAGTTGGCTGGTTCGAATCTGATGTACATAGCAGCAGGTATAGCATTAACTATTCATAAGATGGAATTTTAAGTTGGGGTTATGTAAATCAAGTTAGGTTTTGCCCCTCGCCAACGTTTTTTTTCCAACTTTCACTTAGGAGGTAACACACTCATACAGTGTTTATACGTCAGTGTTTATACGTCGGTTATTTGATTAGAGTTTTATTCAGCATGCAGAGTCCTGTGGTCAAAAGGTTCCTGTGTTTGACTCATGCACGATGTTATGTTGAGTCAATCTTGACAGGGGACATGGTGCTGGTGTTCTTGGGCAAGATACATTACTACAATTGCCTCCATTGAGTACATGTGGGGGGGGGGTTGCAGACCAGATAGGGCTGATCTCGAGCTTATAGCAGGAAAGTGTTCTCATGGCCTGATGAACAGGGGTAATAAGTGTGAGCAATCTGAGAGTGTTGTATAAGAGTGCTATATGAACACTGCACTATGATCATCAAATATCTTAACATCAGCACAAGGTGATGGGCGACAATACGTTCAAGAGTTCCACCTAAACCTTTTCTTAAGTGGGATTACTGGGCAGTGTTGTAGGACTTGAGTCTAGGACTCGGACTTGAGTTGGACTCTAGTCACATTGGAAAATGACTCAGACTTGACCATGACTCCTCGAACTCAAGCTTGGTGACTAGCGACTCGAGTCACGTAATTTCATCAAAAGAAAAAACCTAACGTAGGGATGGGAAAGGATCATTGAGGAATAATGTTTGGATGATAAAACATGGAGGGAAGGGTTGGAGGAAGATTTTTCAGGGATGGGAATTAAAAGGAAAACACATTTTGGCTCTAAACAACATGTACACACAACTGTATACACTGGGATTTACTTAAAAGACAAAATGGAGGATTAAAAAATAATTTAAAAAACTGACTAGTTCGGTGAACAACTAAGAACAAGTGACTCGTGACTCGGACTTGGACTCGAGGCTTGTGACTCGAGACTTGGACTCGGACTCGGACTCGACGTTGGTAACTCGACTACAACACTGGTACTTGGTCACAGAGTCCACGGTACCTACCAGGTAATTCTGAGTTGACCACCCCAGGGTAGACAGGCAAAGGCCCCCAAGAGGTGACGACATGAAGCTTGTCCCTCAGCTCAGGATGGGCCTTCATCTGTAAGGCCAGGGTGTTGGAGTTGATGCCTGTACCGTCTGCTGTCTTATTAAGGATCATCTGGATGGACTTCAGATGGGAACCTGGGCAGGAAAAAAAAATTATGAGATGTAAATTAGCCTTTTTTATATTTGATTTTTTGTTTGCCCTTCGCTGACATATTTTGTAAACACTGTGCACTTAGTGTTGTCCGAAGGCTAATGACCTCCTACACAAACAAAGTTGGGTTAAGCGCTGCTTCATCAGACTCCAAACAGCCAGCTTGCCACAGCAAGCTCAGTGGTCGAGTGGTTAATGTGTCTGCACTAGGAAGCAGAAGGTTGGGGGTTCATGTCCAACCAGTAAGCTTGTTTTTTTTTCTTGCTCAATGTGTACAGTGTTTGTAAAATACTTCAGGGAAGGGCAACAAAAAAATACATATATGAAAAAGAAGATCAATAATTATATGGATGAAATCGAATAAAGTTGATTCCTACTTTGTAATTCACAATTTCGAATTTCACAACTATCCACATAGAATTGAGATGCAGACCAATGCAAATGAGTCTTCACAGATGTTTGTCTTAGGCCCCATGGATTAATTCCGATTTGCGTGTGCCCCTGTGCGCCTGCGAGCGCACACATGCTCATGCGTGCTACCCCGTGCTGCACGGGTCTGCCCGCAATTGCATAGGCCCCTGCGTGCCGTTGCGTGCCGTTGCGGGCAACTGCGTGCTTATGCGGGCTATTGAGCACAGGCAAGGGTTGCTAAATCCATAGATTAACGCTGACAAAAGAAATTGGGTAGCCGGCCAAGGCGGCACCAGACAAATAGGTTGTGATGAAAGGGCTGGAGTTCCAATGACATAAAAGACGTTAGTGCATGGCAGTGCCACAATGGTGTCTGGATTACTCTTTTATGATACGTGACATTACATGTACTACGCTTTACGTACGTATAGCTAGGCTATTTTCATAGGGTTTTTTGCGTCGTTTGATTTGAGCTCCGGATATATTATATTTCTTTTCTTTTTTTTGTTGAGAGCTTCGGTTTTAATTGAAAGACACCGAACGTTCTTACTGTAAATATGAAAGTCAGTTGAAAGACTGCTTTATTTATGTCATTATTCTGAATTTATATTAATATGCATTTTTAAGAAAGTTCCACTTCATTATTCAAGTTAAACAGCAATTATTGAAAGAGAAAGAATACACATGATCAAGTTCATTTTCATCATTCAACTTTATAGTCCTCCGATCAAAAGGTACACATGCAAATTGAACGAACAAGTCATGATAGGCACTGCTGTACATCACTCATAGGCCTACACATACGTATCGTCATGATATGTGGATAAAGTTATAGGCCTCATAATTGGGGCCGCGCCCATTGAGAGTCAAGTGATGGCCAGACATAGGAATCTTTCCGGCCATTTAGTTAATCAGGTTTTTATCGGAATATTACACGGAATATGTGTCCACGCATTATCCCTGTTATAAATACCACCCCCGCATGCCAGACAAAGTCTGGCAATGGCAGATCCCACTTCACACAACACGGAACATGCGTGCACCGTTATTACTGTTAATACCGCGAGCCAGACTACATGTAAGTCTGACACCACTTCCATCAGCATACAATGACATTGTATACGGTTGTAGACCAGTCTGGCTGCAATGGCGTCTCGCCGTTGTACAAAAATTCTCTCATTTCGCTTCTGTACCCCGACCTTTAAAAAGTCTTTGCGGCAAGGTGCGCCAAGCTTTTAATAATTTCTTTTCACACCACTGATTTAATAAAAGTCTGCACTTTCTGGGTACGAGTGTACCAGTCCGTAGCATTTTTATTTATAGTTATGATAAAGACAGTTCGATTTTTCAAGTAGATTTTAATTTTACACGGTGTATTGTACACGGTGTTTTGTACTGGCTCACGCGGTAATGTTTGGGCATTTCCTGTCTTTTCCTGGGCACTTTTATCACTTACATTTCGTTCACATTTCCTGTCATTTTGGAATGCGTGTAATTATTGGTACCACCAGAGTAGATGAGTCGTGCTTGGCCCTGCCAAGTGTTTACAACCAACTAATGAGCGGATTAAGGGGCAAATGGGCTAAAGTCCAAGAGGATGTCTATTGTGCATTTCTGCGATTTGTATGTAATGTTGTACCGCCTGGCACTGAGCCCGTTTGCGTGCCACTGCGAGCAAGTCCGTGCCAATGCGGGCAGATGCGTGCCGATGCGGGCCAGTGGGTTCAAAATCTCCTTTGTTCGAGCTTGCCTGCATGCGCACGCATGCGCCCGGGGGCGCACGCAAATCGGAATTAATCCATGAGGCCTTACCTGACTGGATAATTTTACCGAAGAAACTGGCCTTGTTCTCTCCTATCTTTTCGAGTCCTCGATGGGTAATCCCAAATCCGCTCAGTGAATGGACGTAGTTGTAGGCCCAAACAGATCCATGTAGGTCCTCAAAAACTTTATATCTATCATTGAAATATATTCAATACAAATATGATTAGCATTGAAATATTACATATAATCAGCGGCAGGAGGGGGGGGGAGAATTATATTTCTCCCCCCAAACAAAAATGGACAAACACACTTTCCCCTTCCCAATTGTCACATTTGTGGAAGACAGTGTTCTAGTGAAGATTTGCAGTTTGCAGTAACACCATGTAGGCATGCAGAGTCTCTTTTGGGAAGATATGTGGTTCTGAAAAGAACCACACATCTTCCCTAAAGAGACTTCTACATGGTGGCACCGCAAACCTTTACTAAACCATGCCACTACGTAGTTAGACCAAGTAGTTAGCTCTTGCAAATTGTCTTGCAAAGATGTTCCATCAACACAACTGAGAATATGACAACATCAACTTGATCGTCAGGCAAGGCAGAGACTGATTTCAAATGACAACAACCCCAGAAAGAGAAGAAGAAACTCTGATCAGATGACAACCAACATTTGCCCAGGAAAGAAAAAAAAGGCAACTGATGAACAGAAATCAAATTGTGATTTGTGAATAAAAACTTCCATTTGACTTCATTCCTTATCAGATCAAATTGAATATCAAACAGAAGGGAAGCACAGAATTGTTGTATGGGTAAATAAATCAACATCCAGGGGAAGAACACAATTCATTTTGGGGAAAAAGCCAACAAGGATTGATAGAAAAGAAAATCTCCTCTTTCTTTTGCTGTTGTCTACATCTACATATACCTTTGTACAAAGTAATATTAGTGCTTAAAGATGTTTTGAGTGAATGTTACTTTCCGTCATCAGTAACATGACCAAATTGAAACCAACTACCAACTACCTGCTCCTCCGTCCAATCACATCCATATACTGTCATTATCCCCAAAGCCATTTTCAGGATGTATTCATCAAGTTTATTCCCACGTGACCGGTTGAACCAACTACAGGATGAGTCAAAAAGAAAGTGACAGAATTTGAAAAAAATGTTGGAAATATTTGGCTCGTTCTATGTTAATAAAGAAACACAGACAAAGTACATCTTATCAGACTTGTATGACTCGTGACGCGGACTCGGGTCCAACTTGAGTCCAACTCGAGTCACATTTTTAATGACTCGGACTGGGACTCGAGTCACTTTGACTTACGACTCAAACTCGGACTCGGGGCTACGGACTCGGACTTGGACTTGAACTGACTTGTGACTAGACGGAAATTACTGCACTGCACACGCGCACATACGTAAGTCGATCATTTTCTTTACTGTGCAATACATGTACAGGGCGCTTGATGTGGTGCGTGCGTGGCCGTGGCCGGTTACCGATATATTGACCTATAGAAATCAATGTACTGAAACTTGTACCCCGCCATCAATACGCAATACTGCATTGGTGCAAGATTGATAGGGTAAGGTACCAGACTTTTCTTGTCAGACGTCCTGTTGTTCTCACGTGTATTGCTGTCGCATCGCGATAACGCGATATGAATAGTCTGCTGATCTGCCTGTTTCGATAACGTTACATGCAAGTTGCAACGTACGTAGATCATGATGGCATCCACTCCAAAAATTGTCAATTTTGGATATCTTAACTTCAAGAGAAATGCCAATGGAAGATCAAGTGCAGAATGCAAGTTCTGCAGGAAGAAAATAGAGGAGCAAACCGGCACTACGTCCAACTTCAATCGCCACCTTTCACGTATATAGAAGTCTAAAAAAAGATATTTGAAACGCCTGAACTTTAAATGCAAATGTTAGGCCAATACCAGTTTTGTCTGAATTGCCTTTATAACTGTTTTTGTAAATGAACTCCTCATTTCCAGAGAAAATTAGAGAAAAGCTGTGGGGAAAAATGAAAATTTACAGCACCTGAAATGTACGTATTTCCATACTACATTGTATATCAAAGGTGACTCTGAATCTCTGAATTCCCTAAAATGTACGTTTTTTGATACAAAGAGGTGACTCGTGACTCGGACTTGGACTCGACCTTTGTGACTCTCTGACTCGGACTCGACCTGGAGGACTCATCACTCGGACTTAGACTTGACAAATGTGACTCGGACTCGGACTTGGAATCGATGTTTTGTGACTTGAATACAAGTCTGCATCTTATTGACTATTAACTGCGTAAATTTCACTTAAATTGCAAACTCTATTCCCAATTCATGTTTATTTCAATAAAACGATCACAAAACTTGGCTGTCCACCACTTATCAATTACCGTGCTGCGAACTGATAATACATCTCCCAATGAGGATAATGAAACATCAATAGTTTTCCCACCTCCATGAATGAACGAGAACTTGCAAAAATCACCATCGATATTTCGAAGAAAAAAGAGAGTTAACTTGCTTCTCATATTCAAAACACACAACCTGATTGTAAAAATTCTCTTGATTTCAATTATTAAAATCTCATTTGTATTTGAATACTTGTAATCTGTATTTCTCACTTAGCTCATTTAGCTTTCAATATTATCGCATTCCTTGGACAGCTACACAAACAGGTTCTTTTTAGTAAAACATGCATACCTTTGAATGGCACGATCAAATTTAGTGATTGTTTTTTTTTAGATGAGTGTAAGAACATGCTCTTTTAAGACATATTTCTTCGGTGTATCTAATTTGATTGCTTAAGTAAAAAAAAAAATCTTGAGTGCGGGTCACTTTTTTTTTAATCATCCTGTATAAACACAATGTGAACATGCATCTCTCATACACACTAAACTTAATTGTCTTCATTTTCTATCATCCTCTTTTTTTTCTGTCTTTTCTTCTTGTGCGGTAGCCCTCACATTGAGTGGCATTTATGCCTTGTGAAGGGATGACTTGCATAAAAAAAACAATTACATGTACACAATACGCATGTTTAATCTGGAGCCAATCATTAAAACTGAAACAAATTCAATTCTCAGATTTCATGTCAGTGCAAGTAGTGAAACTGACTCACATGCATCTGCTTTGGTTACAGGAACTGATACCACAAGATAGTCACATGCATTAAAATTGGACAGAAATGTTGGGGAAAAAGAAGGAAAAGAACAAGAAACTTTCTGTTTCAATTCCACTTTGCTCAAGGTCTTACAATCCCTGTAAGTATAAATCTGGAGTGATCTTGAAATAGAGAAGAACATTCTTTGCTGCATCTGAACAACATGTGGCTCACGGAGCTCAATGCTACATTGTGCATGAACTATGGGTGATGGCTACCAAAACAGCTCCACTCCATCAACTGGGTGGAAAACTGAAGTTGAAAAGCATCGTGAGAACTTTTACATGAGCGGAGAAAGATCTCAACAAATAACATGGTTAAGTGCTGAAATCATTGCACCAATCGGCCTCTGCTTAAACTTTGTCTTTCTCTTCACAGTCATTCGAGTGAAGTCCATGCGTACAATCATCAATATCTACTTATCCAATCTGGCTGTGGCTGACTCCCTCTACCTTATGAATTACTTCATATTTGCACTGTCTTCACCTACAGAGTACAACTTGTTGGTCAACAATGCAATATCAAGTGGCCAATGCACGTTCATCGCTACTTCTAATTTCTTTGTGGTTACCATAGCAGCTGAGAGATTCTCTGCAGTGCGCAATCCTATAACGTTCAAAGAAAAGGCCTCTAAATCTCGAGCAGCAAAGATATCAGCAGGACTTTGGGTGCCAACAATTATTGTTGGTGTGATTCTGATTTTCGTACCATTAACAGAAGCTGTCTCCGATAAAGTCTACTTTTGGATTCTTTCCATTATCAACATTGTCTCTTCGATAGCAACTCTTGCTTTGTACATCTATGTAGTATGGAAAGTATGCAAGCAATCAGCCCTGTTCCCGAACCGTCCCAAGCAAGCAGGCAAGGTCCTCTGCATGGTTATCATCAACACTGCTGTTTTCTTCATTCTGAACTCACTGACCGTTGCAACTGCAATTATGGCAATACATGCACGTGTAGTGTCATCCAATTATACTTCACGTGCTGAGATTGTTGCCAATCTGGAACTTGGAGAGACAATACATATTCTGACTATATGCATTGAAATTTTGCAACTGATCAATAGCTCAATAAATTCCCTGGTCTACAGTGCCACAAACGTTGACTATCGTGAAGCTGTAGTCAAGGCTTTCTCATTCCTCAAACTGTGCTGTCGTTGCTGCCCAAGACGGAATCCCAGCCGACCATCGCAGCCAGGGAAGCAGATTGAGCTTTGTGTGATTCCACAGGCAGAAAATGACCAAGAGCACCATGCTGCCAGGCCAAGCAGCAGCAAGCCACCAAGCCAAGGGCATGCACAACAAACAGCGAGTCAGCAGTCACTGGACAGCTGTCAAGAACAATGTTCCAGGCAAAGCAGCAGTAAGGCATCCATGCACAGTCATCAGCATGTTCAAGTGCATGTTGAGGTACATGCAGAACCAGCAGGGACCCCAGCCCTTGCAAGTTCTCATCAGGAACAATGCTCTAGTCTGACTGACTGCAAGCTATCCATGCAAGGGGAACAGTGCGAACATCCAGAACCAGCAGAGAGCCAGCAGTCACTTGCAAGTACTCAGGAACAATGTCCTGGGCTGACTGGCACCGAGCCATCAGCACAAGGGCAGCAGTATGCACATCCAGAACCAGAAGGGATTTAATCTTTGGAAAGTTGTCAAGAACAATGTTCACTGGTACCTGATAAGTGCAAGCTGTCTTTAAGGGCAGCAGTGTGTAGAGTGAGTGCTGCTTTTGAACTTGCTGTGTTCAAAGTGTAGAGCAGATTTAAGGCCGTTTCATACATCTTCTTCATTGGAATGCCAAGTAGATTTGACATCGAGAAACATTAACAGCACATTATGCTGGAGTTGAAATGTGTTTTACTTCAGCGAATTGCCAATACATGTACGCACCATGACATCAGTAATGTGCAGGCCTGCCCAGAGCAGATTGCAACCAACTATCAGTAAAGGGAACAGCTGGTATTCATGCAATGTATGTATGTAAAAGGTTCAGAAATTAACAAATCCTAAATAGTTTAATTATTTGAATCAAACTTTTGTTCGTGTTTAAAGGTAGAGTAGATCATTTGCAGCTATCCAAAAAGTAACTGACAAAATTATTGTTAAAAGGCTTTTGGTTTTAATGGCACTAAACTCCCTGTGAAATCATTCTTTCTGGCATGCTGTCATTTTAAAAGAAACAATGAAAGAAAGCAATTTTTAACGATGCATCATGTTAGTTCATGTAGTTGGTTTGTTCATGTAGTTGGTTTGTAAATTCGGTGAATCCATGAATATGTGCGCACAAGCGTCGACACGACGCACACTAGGTTACTATTATTCGTCAGTTCAGTGCATGACATCGCGTAGCTGCAATTGACTGAATGAGAATGTGTCCCTGGGGCTGAATTCAGACACAATATAAAACATGACTCAGCAACTTTTGAATTGAACCTGAGATCCTAGAATATATGTTTGGAATATACTGCATTCACAGAGCTAAAACTTCATCATGTTAGTTGTTAAGCACCCGTTTTTAGATTTTGAGCACTTTTGTAGCTTCATATGAAAAAAAAAATGCACAAATGACAAATAATCTACCCTTCCTTTAAATGAGCAAGTTTGTTACTTTTTTCAGTGTGAAAATGTACAAGTAATTGTACTAACATATGGATAACCCTGAAAGTTCACTGGAAATAAACAGTTTTTTTTTAAGTGCTTTTGAAACAGATTTGGAGGTTTTTATTTTAGGAAATGCACCTCTGTATTCCAAGTCTTTGGATGTTTCAGGCTTTTACATATTTTTATGATGGTGCCAAGATGCATGTTCATGAAAAATACAATGATGTCATGAGCTGGAACTTCAGTGTCACTGTTGTTTGAGGGGACAAAATGTAACATAAGTGTTTCGATCAAGTTTGATGTGACTGTTGCATTCATTAGCACATAGCATGCAGCCAATGAGATACTTAAATGTACAAACCTTTACACATGTACACTGCAATCCAGGGTTCTAGCCAGGGTGAAATTATAGCATAGGGGTAATTTTGGTTCGACGACTAATGCGAGCGCGTAGCGCGAAGCCCTTACGGCGTGGGGTCCGGGGCCCGCTTAAGGGGCCCGAAAAATTTTGGACTCTAGATGCTCTGTGGTGCAATCTGAGGCGATTCCCTGCCACTTTTCCCTGATTTTTTTTTAGCAGAAGTGTTTAAAATTATAAGAAATTTTGTTTTATTTGTTTCAATGATTGATACTCTTGCTCCTGTAAAGTTCCTTCTGTTTTCAAATTTTAGATTATGTTTACAATGTATAAATTGTTCCAAGATTGATGCTTTCTGATGTTTAACCATTTTTAGTAGTCCTCAATGTTTTATAAAAAAATTTGGATTTACTTTGTCAATGTTAAGTGCGAGAACAAATCGCATGAACATTTCAAATTTGGAGGTCTCACTCTCAGACAGAAAAAGTCATCGGAAATTGCAGTTTCAATATGCTACAACACAATGTGAAGGAGAAATCTCATTTTTGTTATGATAAAAAATATAATTGTAGATAATGACGATGAGAAATAATCACCGGGAATTGCTTCCTATCCTGGCCGCGGCCGGCCCCGGCCCGGCGTGCGGGCGCGGGCCAGCCCACACACCGGCTACGCCGGCGAACTACGCGACCAAATTTTCCCTCAGCATTTGAGAAAGCTTACGCATTCGTGGAGTGCTAAAAAACTTGCTTTGTTGCAATACTTGCTGATTGGTTTTGTCCTTAGAACAAACAGATCCGTTTTTACTACCAAACTTATTGAACTGTTATTATCAGCAACGAGAAGTGTAGTCAAAAATCCAAATTTTCGACAGCGACATTCTTCGAGAAGAATTCTTCACGTAAATTCTTAAATCCTTTACAAAAATTATATTCCGACGTTGAAGAACTTATTTTCAAACAGTAACATGTTTCGGACTTGATAAAAAGTATTATTTATAATTAAATAACAGTTGAAATGCTTGTAATTAATATTGACCTTAGGAAAGCACACCCGATACCGCAAAATGGTGTGGTCCACAGAGCGCTCTGTACGTGACCTGTTGGTGACACGTACGTCCGTACGGAGCGCTGTATCTACGCAGCACAAAACAGCACGTGCTTATTGCTTTCATAGCGAATGCGTGGGGCGCAGCATCACGGTAGGGGTATCGTACGGGGTACGTGCGGTGGGATCGTTGTTTATTTTTCCCTGTGTCGTACGGCCAGTGCGCAATGCTCAAAGTTGCTGCGCTTGTATACGAACAAACGGCAGATATTTTTTTTTTCGCAATCAAAATTTATAGCGTAGCGGTAGCGTAGCGGCGCGATTTAAGCGTAGCGCTTATTTCCGAAAGCGTAGCGGGTGCTAGCGCTATTTGATGCCTGGCTAGAACACTGCTGCAATCAATTTCAGGTTCATAAATTATACAGAAAATCCCAAAGCTGTGAAGTGTAAATTACCTTCATCGACATCACAGCAACATTAGAAACAATTGCGAACATGTGCACGGGCATTGCAAAAAAGTGTGCGTAAAATGTGGTCGTTACTTTCATACAAACACCGGGCTAGGATATTTCATGTTTTAGTGAAATTCATTTTACAGCCTTTTGATGCTGTTATTAACAGACCTTGACAAATCCCAAGCATGGAGCACAATACATACATACTCCTAAAAAGGCACAAACTGTATGGTTATTGTTATTGAGGGTTCAATGTTAAGGGAGCAAACTCACTGCAAATCCAAAGTGTCTTGGGAGATTTTGGATCTCAATCTTGAAGATCTCTGAGGTGAAGTGCTGTTGTGTAAGATAGTGATAAGGATCCGTTATGGCAGCGCCAGTCACTGGTACGTCAGAGGTGCTGGTGGAATGGTTATCTTGTGGGTCAAGACCTGATGCACAAATGAACAGATTAAAAAACTTGATATGGCTAGAGCTATATTGTCTAGGTCTTTACCCAAAACAATTACATGGGAACAATCTGACAATAGCCGTAGCCATAGCTCTAAAAGCCCGTTTCAGACACAGCCTAAGTAACAGACAAACAAAGCTGCAAGTTATGCATTAGGAGCATCTGATTCCAAATACATTACACAAATCTTTGTGCACACATCGTCACTTTGCTCACGAAGTGACAAAAACCTCGAAAATCGATAATTATTTGATTGTCAAATAAGGAACAATTTGACCAAGTTTCAAGGCAAAATGTTGTTTACTTTCTTAATTATTGTAAACAAACAATTGACAAAAAGGCTGAAATCGGTGATTTTCATTTTTACGAAGTGTAAAAAAGTGTAAAATGTTCTCACGAAGTGACAAAAAGTCACCTCTTGAGCAGGGCCAAGGGAATTATACATTGGTCTACATGCGGCAGGATGGGAGCATACACGCGCGCGCGAACGATGTTGAAAAGGAAAAGACACGCGCGCTCAACTGTCCTGATGCGCAAAAGTAACAAGTTTGTTGCGTTGAAAAACAGTACAAATAAGTAAAGCCTCCGCGATTCATGATCCCACGAAATGACAAAAACGGTGTACAAAGTAATTGGCAAAATATGGGAGCCAAAGTATTGATGTTCTCACGAAGTGCAAAAAAGTTTTATAAATGAATTACTGTTTAATTACGAACTGTTTTTAACAAACAACTATGCATTAACAAAGAGCAAATCATATCCTATCGGACAATGCAAAAAATTCTGAATTCTGTTACTGCAAAGTGGCCGAAAATATCTTTTAAAAAAAAGAATAACTTCAAATGCGATTACCTCAGGATGAACTTTTGTCCAATTTTGAGGTTTTTATCACTTCGTGAGAAAGCGACGACATGTTGCACAACCTGGAAAATGCTTTTTGCAGACCATTTTATCTTAAGCAAGGAGAAATCCATTGTATAGACTTTTTGCTGCAGAGCACAGATATAAACTATACGAGACCATTGTAGGCTTTAGATGTACAGTATGGGATTTAAGTCTGGTGTATTAAAGGTGTCTTCACAGCTACTAGCTGGAAAAAATGTAGTTGATAGTTAAAGTCAGCAATGTGTTCCCCACTTCTGTCAATAGAGCGTGCAAGTTGACTTCAAAAACCTAGGTGATTTTACTAGGTTTATCCAGTCAAGGGCAAAGAATGGGTTCTGAACAAGAAAAAAATCATTCCAATTTACAACACATTCAAAAAATATTGCAAGTTGATAAGTATAGTAAATTGAAAAAAATGTGGACCTCCACTTCCGTTCACCGGGTGAATTGGGTGAATTCAAACACGGGAGTCCGTGGCTAGACTAGTCAGTGTTTGGTACCAAGATGTTCACATGAAAAGTGAATGTGAACTGGCGAGATTTGCATGCTCTATACATGTAATTGTACATAATCTGTGTAGCACCACTAGTCTGTTGTATAACATTATGAGCTCCATGTCTGTATGATGTTCAACTGCAAAGCAATATTCTAATATTTCTTTTAGATGGACTCAAGGGTACTTTGAATTTGGATAATTGAAAAATCAATGCTGTAAAATATGAATGTTGTTGTAAAGTTAGCATCATACAAGATGTATCTTAATTTGCACGGTATCCGAGGAATTGCTGCTTTTCATATGTTCATTAAAGCTGCTTTTTCCTTGTGTAATTTAAAACTCTAAACACAAATAATACAGAAATGTACCAAATCGGTGTTTGAGCTCTTAAGTCTTTCTGCTACCTAGTAATATTCGAGAAAAAAAAATTGCAGGGAAAACCATGTTTCTAAAAGTCACACACTTTTTTATAGGACAAACAAATTTGCGTGTAAAAGCAAGATCAGTGATAAAATAAATAAAAGTGTACACTAGCAACATTTAAATAAACAGTGATTTTCCTGAATTTTGTATTTAAAACCTAATTCTTGCTTGTACAAATGTAATTGTTGAAAAATCCCTACTGAGTAAAAGAGCTTGCTGGTCAATGTTGAAAGTACAAACATAGGCCTATACCCTCAATATTCATGCCACAAAAGTAAGCCAACATATTGGTCAGCAAAGGGGATGACAAGGGTTTAAGTCTTTTGTGACTTGTTTCTTTCTTTTCAATAATTAATTCCTGACAGACATAATAGACAATGCACAATATGTACACCTGTCAATCTTTCTGTGTTTTGCATTCTGATTGGTTAGAATTGATCAGCATTAGCTACTAATAGGCCACGCCCCTCGACAGCCGATCCAATCAAACATGAACGCTGATCTACGGCTTTTGCAAAATGGAAACCTCTGTGAAAATACTTACTGTTGTAAGTCTAAGCCAATGAAAATAAGAAGACATGATACTGAAACTTTTGCACAATTTATCCAGGGCCAAGTTTCATGAAGACCTGACAAGAAATTAGGGGAATAACTGAGAAAAAAATTCCCGAAACTTTCTGTTGCGGTTTTCATAACAGGCGGTTTTCATAACAGGCGCATTATGTACATGTGTGCACACTTTATATCCAGGCGAGGGGGTGCTTGTGAATGGAGCGCATACACACAAAAAATGAAGAGATTGCATAAATAAAAATAAATGCCAGTTTCACACACCGATGCCATCTACACTCTTGCCGATGGTAAACTCACACTTGTTGCGCTAACTCTCTAATACTGGCGGTGAGTGTGCAAACAAACAATGAAAATGAAAGGAACAAATCAGACAGCTTGCAGAATCTTTGCTCGTAAGCTCTCAGACAGCACTGAATATACAGTGCATTCAAATTTACATTGGTGAAGGTCAAAACCAGGTATTCACATTCACAACTCCCCTACGTAAACAATTAATTAAACTCATTGATTGTGGCACCTGCTGTATCAGATTGGGACCAGCCAGCCAACCCCAGCAAGCCTGGTGGTCAAGTAGTTGAGACATCTGCACTAGGAAGCAGGAGATTGTTGGTGCGAGTCTCATTTGAGCAGCTTATGAATTGTGAAGTTTTGGTTTTGTGTTCATTTTTCTGCTTTTTGTTTGTAATTTTTTTTTTTACCAACTCCCCCCCCCCCTTTGGGACTTTTGTGTGTGGAAAGGAAGTTTATTTCAGAAGTTGGCCCAAAGTTTGCTGAGTTTTAATTGATTCTCAAGAAAAAGGAGACATCATTTTCTGGACTTTTAATGAAATTTCAGGGCAGCTGTACATGTAAGTCCACTTGCCAGAAAACTGTGTCTGGAAACAGTTTTTTGTCAACGAAGATCACATTTCCATTCTGGCCCACAACCATCCTGTGTCTTTGGTGAGTAGCTCACCTTTGTTGCTTCAGCCAAGGAGACATCTCCCCAATGTTCCGTTGCAGCATCTTGGATAAATTCCTCAGAAACTCCCTGGTGTTGGTCTGTTTGGTGGATAGCTGGTCCTCATACGGCTGGTTCCATAGTGGAGTCACCATGTTGTTTAACCTGCAGATTGGGGAAAGATGTGAAAAGCACATTCAGTATTTCAGAGTCTTAACAAATTTTGGAAAAAGTGAATAGCTCAACTGCTCTAAGCCTTTTGCGATATGGCAGACACAATACAAGGGTGTTATTTGATTTGGGTATATTGGGGTAACTTATGCAATAGACTTAGACCCAAACCAAATAGAGCCCTCGTATTGTGTCCACCGTATCTCCAAAGGGTAATGGATTGTGTTTGGAACTTGTCATCTTTCTACATACAACCATTCTCCTAACTACAGTTCATAGTTCTGGTAGTGCATGAACAAATTAAAGATTAAGCTTGAAACAACGAGGGTAATGTGTTCAACTTAGACAGTTTATCAGATAAAATAAGAATCATCTGAAACTGTGAATCGCACACACACTCTACACAGACATGCAACCTTTAATGCTGTACCTTCTAGGGAAAAAAACAAGGAAAACTGTCCACATAACAGTTTTACTCAACAAATGCCGGATGAAGTACTAAATTTACTTAAAGTTCCGTGCTATTTTCGAGTTTCATCCCGAAAAACAGATTTCTTTACCAATCTGCTATTTTTCAAGCAATACAAAAGTTATTCACTTTTGAATGAAACACCAAACACAAAAAAGCTCACGTTCAGTTATTGAATTATTACTTTACAATTCCAAATTATTGGCTGCCAAACATAATATCTGTTCTTGCTGGATAGGCTGGTTCCCCCCCCCCCACAATCAGTATCAATAATGTACGGACGGGAGCCAATCTGTTGGCAAAGCTGGTCATCAGTTTGGGCCAACAACAAAAAGAAAAGTTCATGGGTAATTTCTTCGTATAACATTTGATAGCAGAAGTCTAAGTACACTTTCAATTTCAAGCAAGAAAGTGTAGGAATTCCATGGTTTCAAATCTTTGTCGATGCAGTGACTATTTGTATCTGTATTTTAAATGTCTTTCTTGATTATCCAAACACCAAACCTAAAGCTTGTGTCAAGTTTCTATATGTGAGATATAAATAAATATGTTGTAAGCAAAATGTAGTGGACGACCTGAAAGATTTTGTGTCATTTTTTGATCTGCATCTAATTTTATTCAGTTATAGATAATTCAAGCGTTACGTTATGCCTGTGATCTTTTATGAGCTGTAAAACTCTGTAAAAAGTGCAGAGTGCCATTTCACCTTTTTTAAAGTAAGCTAGATATGAGCAAAACCTTAGTGACGGATTACACAATGTACATGTAAAAAAGTCTTGAAGAGAAAATAAAAAGTTATTCTGAAGCACATCTATGCCAAAGTCAACTGTAAAACTCTATTGTCTACTTTGGTTTAGTATGCATTCAAAACAAGGAACAAAGAGCTAATCCTTACAAATCTTAGAGATAAAAAAACACTAAGGGGAAAAAATTCAGAAGCTTTTTGTTTCAACTACACATTGCTCCAGGTCTTATATTCGCTGTTAGTATAAAACTGGAGTGATCTTGAAATAGGACAGAACA